CTCAGCAATAACTTCCTGATTTAAGATCGCAGATAATTTATCTTCATGTCCAGAATTTGAAAGGAAAGGAAATCCCAACTCTAAACACTACATTTTGCTAACCTGAGTGTAACCATCCACTGCTTCTCCATCCCCTTCTCCTTACCCTCCCCATTCTGCCTCACTCTCACAAGCCAGCACTGTCAACTGTTTTCATTTTCTTATTTCCTCCTTAATAGAATGCACACCTACTCTTTATAAGAAAGATGTTAGCTGCTGTCATGAGATGCAAAGACACATAAGACTCCAAAACAGCTGTCTGGAGTATCCAAAGTGAAAACTCACAGACCAATAAAAAGACAAGTCATAATGCAACAGAAGAGCCAAACGAAGTGCCATCACATTTGGGATAGTGTAGAAGAGAGATAAGTCACCATCTGGTGGGTTTTGAGGGGTGGACTGGAGAAAAGGAACAGATGTCTAAAACTCCAGGTGGGTTAGAAAGCTAATTTATTTTGTTGCTGATTTTGGGGTAATATCAGGTGACTCACTGCTTTTTGGTAAACTGGAGTGAGAATCTTAAAGGCTGAAGTTTGCCAAAGGTGGCAGCAAATCAAGACCCAGATGCGCACAGAATTTTCCATTTCCAAGTGAAAATATTTGAGAAAAGTGGCAAGGGCGGAGAATTCTAGAAGTAAATAGAATAAAATAGTTCTTGTCCAGTTCTCATGTCCTTAGCTTGCCTCCTGTAGCAAGCCAATCAAGGAAACAATTTTCTCCCAAGGTTTAGAACGTCGCCTTTTGCTGGTTTCTCACAGGCAGCTGCCACTGCTGGAACTAATAGCAACATTGAATCTAGACGTTCTCAGCCTTCATTTGACACTCCGTGAATTCTAAGACGCCCTGTCACCCCAGGTAACCACGCGCCCTTCTCTGCTGTTACTAATCATGTTTTTCTATGTCCTTTGTTCCTGCTAGACATAAACGAGTGTGAGAGAGATGCCTGTGGGAACGGAACTTGCCGAAACACAATTGGCTCCTTCAACTGCCGCTGCAATCACGGTTTCATCCTTTCCCACAACAATGACTGCATAGGTGCGTGAGCGGAACAGTCCGCCCCCAGAGAAAGGCAGTTTTGTGTGTGTTCTTTGTAATTAGCATCCTTTCCAGTGTGCTGGCTATCTCGTTTTAATATATGCCGTCTTATTATGCATGACAGTTGGGTAAAAGACTTGTCAAATAAAATGTGTTAATTAAGTGTCAGATATAGTTACTACATCTGTTACTTTTATTAGTATGCTCATTAGCAGCTATAATTTTTATGTTTTCTATGCTATGCATTAAATACATTTCAAAATAAATTGGAGTGAATATATTTTAAAACATATAAAAGAGATCCTTTGTATAGAAATTACGTAATTCAGGAGCAATGTGGATCTACTTGTCCAGATATTTCACTGCAGTCTCTCTTCAAAGAAGTAAATTATTGAATCTATAAAATCCTTCTTATGAAACATGCTATATCATTCATAAGCGAAGCTAAGGAACCATGTTTTGTATTGTGCTGGAGGCTAATTTTATGTACTTCTAATGATAAGAATACTTAATAATACCCTCAGCTGTACTATTCAGATGTAAATTCAGTTTCAATCTTTAAAAAATGAAACCTAAAGGAAGATCAAGGTGAAACTCATACAAAATCCTAATACAAATTATTCATCCCTGATTAGTAGAATTGTGTCATCTTGTTAGGTTTTGGTAGGTGGGTAGAGGCAGGTCTGCTGTTATAAACTAGATCTTCATTGGAATTTCTTAAGTTTGCCTGAGCCGGCAGACCACTGAAATTCAGAAGAAGTATTTCTCCCTTTAAAGGCTTTGATCATTGATGGGAATGTGACATTTCCTTTGGAATATATCAAAGGATTTTTCTTTTCACAGACGTTGATGAATGTGCAACTGGAAATGGGAACCTGTGCAGAAATGGCCAATGCATCAATACAGTGGGGTCCTTCCAGTGTCAGTGCAACGAAGGCTATGAGGTGGCTCCAGACGGGAGGACCTGTGTGGGTGAGTGCTGCCTCAGACAGACCCTGCGGAGGTCACTGCCGGAGACCACCCAGGGCACCGTGCAGGCTCCATCACAATTCTTCAGAAGCCTGCAGGAAAGAGATCAAAGTAGAATTACACTAATCCTGCCAGTAGACTTTGGGTGTATGTGTGTATGGGATATGTACCGCTTTCCCCCTTATCTTTTAAAAACTAAGCTTTTTTTTAACTTACAGAGAACAGTTCAGCTGTTCAGTTTAATAGTTAAATTGTTCTATAAACAACTGTAATTCCCTTTTTAAAATTTTTTTCCTTCAAAATAGCTTTGTAGTAAACTCTTATATAATCTTTTGGGTACCCTCAAAAATCTTCAGACCCATTGACTTTTCACATGCTATACTTTCCTGGAAATACTTAATTTGCTGTAGATCAAATAAAACACGGCTGTTACATCGCACACTTCCGAAAGCTGATAAAGCTGATTTTTATTGAGTCGTTAATTTTTATCCACGGTAGAGTCTGTGGGCTTGAGGAGTTTTATGTATTTCTTTGATTTGAGTCCAGTTTCTGTGAATTTTAATTGCTTGATGGAAATCATGCCAGTGGGAACCTCCTTCTTCTTTTTCCCTTTTCTTTGTAGATATCAACGAATGTCTCCTAGAACCTGGAAAATGTGCACCAGGTACCTGTCAGAATTTGGATGGGTCCTACAGATGCATTTGTCCACCTGGATACAGTCTTCAGAACGACAAGTGTGAAGGTAGGAGGGCTGCCAGTATTTGAAAATGAACAGTACTGGTTACTACGTTGATACTGTCAAAGTCACATTTTTGAGGTGGTGGGATGGTGTCTCCATTTCGGAGGGCTTCATCAGACGCAGATTCAGGGGTAGCGTATTACTTACGGGCTCACAATTAGTTGGTGTGACAAGAACATCAGATTGTCATGCTAATCTCTGATGAAGCTGTTTTGCTCTGTGTGTATAGATGATTACATGACCCTGACCCTTTTCCAATGTGCTTTTATGCAGCTTGTAAAAAAAAAAAAATCCCAGATTACATGTGTTTAAAGGTCAATGGGTTGCAACTGATTGCAGTTAAAATCTTTAAGTGACCACATTCAAGGTTAGATGAATGTGGCTGTACAATTTGCCTGTGTTGTTTTGACTTGCAGAGTGGTAGAAATGTGTAACTACAGATAAATTCTCAGATTTTATAGGACCGCATTCCTCAATAAATAGATCATTGCATTAAATGAAGGCCATTAATTGCCGGAACTTCACAGATAAAGAGGGTGAAAAGGACTTTTAAGAAGTCACCTCGTCCATGCTCCCACCTTTCAACAAGGCTGTATCTAATCCATAATGAGTAAGAATTTCCCCCACTTTTAATATCATCAATGAGAAATGTTATTATATGTCTAATTTAAATTGCCTTCAAGGGATAATATTCTAAATGAAAACATTTAATCAAAATTAGGCCTAAATGCAAATTATTAAGTATTATTCTACCTCTATTAGAGATCAGCTTTATTCACTCCATGATTAATGCAAAATTACCCTAAAATGAACAGAATGAAAATGTATAGAAAGAAAAATTAACTTCCCAAATAGTCAGTAAGTGTGTTTATTCTAAATCTTTGTCCCTACGCTTACGAAGTTGGCACCTACAGTTTAATTTCTACCATAAGAGAAAGAACCATAAGAACAAAAACCACCACCAAAAGGAAACATCTGAGCATTTTTACGGAAGTTGACTTTTAAGAGAAGGTTGGATGTGGGGGTGGGGGGAGTGCAGGAATGGAGTCATCGCATCATTATCAGGGCTTCAGACCCATTAGTAAAACCACAGGGAAGACAATGCAATTGCAAATGCCACATAATAACGTGCTGTGCTGAAGAGGCTGGTTTTGCCTTGTGTAGGAAGAGAATCACTTTGCACTGCACATGTATTTCTAGAGTGTCTATTGTATGGCATTTACAAAATTAAGTCAGGATAACGAAGTCACTTTCCGAACTTCCCCTTTGTTGGACCTCATGGGGATAAAACTGTGAAATGCGAATACATTTTGGTGTGGGTAGAACTCTTTGCACAAACCTGAAAATAGAGAGTCCCAAGATACAAGAGAGATCTGTTTTGTTGGGGGAAAAAAAGTATTTCTATAAAAATAGCGTGGCTCAGAATCAAGACTTACCTCTTTTTCACTACAAATTTCTGCTGAAGGTCGGGGAAAAGATGGGTAAGTCTCTTGGAAAGAGTGGCCATGCTTTTTCTGCAAGTAGGATGAGCATGTGTTGACTGACCAAACCAAGACAGTTTTGAGGAGGGCACTATTAATAATGAGTCCAGGTCAACAGGCAGAAGCTAGGACTCTCCCAGGCAAGCTAGGACATGTGGTTACCCAAGCCATTCAGACTTCCCTGTGCACCACCCTTAATTTCCCCCTTACAGTAGCTAAGGTATATTAATATGTTAAAGGAAACATGTCACAATTATGTGTGTCGAATTCCTATTATCTCTATGATGAAAGAAAAACTATAGCCTATACACAGAAGGCATTTTTGTGTCTTCAGGAAAATTAAACTGCAAATGAGAGTTAGGAGCCTCCTCTCCTGTAATATCTTCAGATTACATTGCATAGGATTATTTTCCCAAGGATTAGTGCCCTCGTACACGTCACAGTTTTAGGGTGATAGCACGGGGTACTGGAGAAAGCACTGTGGATGCTGGAAGGCAACAAATTTGGTTCAGAGGTCTAGATCTCTCGCTGAGTAACTCATTGTCAACACAATTAAAATTTCAGAGCTTCTGCTTACTGTGGAATGGTGAAGTCAGACTCTAGAGTCTCTTCCTTCCTTCCTAGTTCAGGGTGTTTTGACATTACTCCCACTTTTTAAATTAGCCAAGACACTAAGTCTGGGTAAAAGATGTTTCTCACTGCATCCCTAAGAAGGCACTTGCAGATTCCACTTTTACAACAAGAACCATCAAAACTAATTTTCTAAGTCGTCACTGCCTAGAAGTCTACTCGCAGCATTAGGATACAGGAAAAAAATCTTCGTTATTGAGAGTCGTGAAACTTAGTTACAGGCTGCACTTCTACATTTTGCATGTGGTATCTGATGGTGTCTCCATTGTGTTTTCACTTTGTTTGACACGTGTGTTTCTTTCAGATATTGATGAGTGTGTTGAAGAGCCAGAAATCTGTGCCTTGGGCACGTGCAGTAACACTGAAGGCAGCTTCAAATGTCTGTGTCCAGATGGGTTCTCCTTGTCCTCTACCGGGAGAAGGTGCCAAGGTAAGTGCTTTTGCCTTTTGCTTTTAGACTTTCATTACTCTGTGTTTATTTGTTGTGGTTTTATTTTTTTAAACATGGCAAAGCTTAGCGTCTTTGTGAAGAGAAGATGGGAGACTTTTCATTCACCCAGAGGCCTAATGATTACCATATGTCAGAAAGTTCAGTTTTACTTTTAAGGTTAAAAACTTACCCGTCAAGTTACGGTTGCTTGTACAAAGACTGTCCTGGCACTTTAAACCGGTCTCTCCCCTAAGAACAGAGATGTTGATAGATCAGTCAGTGGGAGATCAGCCAAGAGCCACTGAACACGGCAAACCCGGGGTGGCAGGGGGAGTTCAGCTGCAGATTCTCTGCCTCTGAAGAGGCAACCTGTGTAAATACAGGCCAAAAGCTAGACTGTCGGACAGAAAAATGCAGAGTAACTCACTTGCTCCCAGGATATAGTGCCCACCTCTGACATCACAAGGTTTCTAAGAAAACAGAAAAATAAATTTGAACTGACCAGCAGTCTTGGTGGCCCATAGTCTGTTTTCAGGAATAATACTTCAAAAAAAAAATCAAAAGGGAACTTAAGCATAACACAGTTTATTATGTCTCAGAAAACTGTTGAGGTTTTACTAA